GCCCTGGTCGATTCGTCTCCCCTTGTTGCTGAGTCATCACAAGATTCCTTCTTATCCCTTGTAATATGTGGAACTTCAAATATACCGCAAGTGTGACGAATCGTCACCATGTCCTCGGCCTCGAGGCGTAAGAAGTCGACCTCGAGCACTGGGAGGTCGACTCATGATCACATGAGTATTCGGAGGCTACGCTTTGTCGCTCTTTTGAGTGGAAATCATCTCCAGGGAATCGTCTTAAAGATGTCGACTTCTGAGAGTCGACTTAGAGTATCTGGATGCTCGGGAGTTATGCTTTTGCCGTTTTCCCGCTATTGATATCGACTAGCGAAAGCCGATAGGCTAAGGTCAACTTCAGAGAGTCGACTAGGCCGACTCTTGCCTCTTCTCGATTGCTCTCCATAGAATCGACTTTAGGGAAGTCAATTTGAGCATGTCAACGCAGTCATGTCGATGTACGAGTTGTTCCAATGGTTCCTCGGTCGAGTAAGGAGCCTCTAGACCGGATTATCCTTATATGGCTATATCACTACCACTACAAGAAATTTCGCAAAACATGACGAAAAAATTCGTCATGTAAAACTTGTTTTTCGTCACAAAAGTACAATGATGACGAAATTTTATCGTCACAGCGATCGTCACCGTAGCCACGTCATATTAGGTATAGGTGACAAATTTTGAATTTGTCACCAAATGATTCACTTTTATTGACGGTTTTAAGTTTCGTCATGTTATTTGATCCCTTTTCGTGACGATAATTTCGTCACGTTTAATATGAAAATTTTGTCATATAAACGATTTTTTTGTCATAAAAAGACAAGTTTTAAATGACGAAAACTTACATTCGTCATCTAAATATTATTGTTTAGTGACGAATTTTATTTTTTTATCGAATTTGTAAAATTTCAATGACGAATATATTTGTGGCGTTTTCGTTAAAATAATCATCATATTTCATAGAATTCGTCATCAAAAAGTTGTTCTATAATTACAAAATATTAGTCGTCATAAAAAGAAATTTTAAATATGACGATAACAAAAGTGTCACAAAAAAATAGAAGTAGTGACGAAATATTATTCGTCTCCAAAAACATATAAAAGCGACGAAATCTTTTGTCATGAAATATTAGTTTTATGATTATGAAAAAAATGATTGTCATCAAAAGCTTGAGATATAATGACAACATAAGTTGTCATGAAAAGGTAAATATTTAGTGACAAAAATTATTGTCATTTTAACATTTTATATGGTGACAAATCCAAATAAATACATCACGACTACATGTTGTCAAAAAAAGATTATTTTCAATGACAATTTAAAATTTGTCACTATTACAAATAAAATAATTGTCATTAATTGCAGATATTTAGTGATATATTTATTTGTCATGGAATATATGATACAGTGACAAAATCTATCGTTACTCTAAACAATTACGTCATTAAAAAGAAATCACAGTGACAAAATCATTATAATTAATATATGATGAAAATATGTTCTAGATGATAAATAAAAAAACGACAATAATAGTAATTTTACTAATAAAAAACATAAATAAACAAATTAACAATCTCAAAATGTTCCAAATAAAATAATAATAATAATAATAATAACAAAGCCTAACAATCTCATATTTGGATCCCAGTGGCAGCTATGAAAGCCATAAGTTTGTCGACTTTTGCCCCTTGTTGACTTAGTTGATCTTTCAAATCACTAACTTGGTCCTTAAGCTCAAGCACTTCAGATTCTTTTCCACGCAGCTTTTCTTGTGTCTCTAGAAGTTCTTTCTGGCCGTTCGAGTCATATGCTTTGCGTCTACTTGGCGGCCTCGGGCCATACCCATAACCTTTTATATATCCAGCTCCATGGCCAAGAACCTCAAGAAGTATATCTTGTGCACTCTTCTCAGGGCCTTGTTCGGAATATTTTTCTTTCCTTGATATCATCAAGTCCTGACAAATAGCAATAAAAACTATATAATCATATTGATATTCATTTCACCAATTAGAATAAGTGATTGTGAATGCAACTTACCCAGTTTTCTTCTGCCTCTTTTGTTGACCAACCACCTTTTTCCTTATAATGCGTACGCTTATAAAGTTCAATCATATCTAGTGGTCCTCCATTCATCTCCTTCTCAGACTGTAAGATTTTTTTAACAATAAACATAAATAGTTTAAATTCAAAAAACAAAAACAAAAAAAAAAACTAATGATTATAAATAAATTAATATCTTGAACATAAACTTACTATTTCATGTTGAAGAACAGTAAAAGGTGTTCAGCCCGAAACATGTGGAGCGCACAACATTTGTCGATTCATCCCATTAATCAAACTTTGGTGCTGTCAAAACATAAATACTATTATTGAACACTAGAAAACTAAAAATATGAAAACTACAAATTTAATATGCAAATAGAAGACTAATGTTATAATTCATTACCCGGAATTTAGGCAATGCAAAAAGCTCACACATTTCTTCCCAGTTTTCTAGACTAGCACAAAAAGACGGCTTGTTCTTCTTTGCTTCTTCATGAGAGGAATATTTCTTATAATGTTGGTGTAGTCTGTAACGTTTTTGCCGTGAACTAGCTTGGACTCTATCAATCACGCAACGTTTCACACCCGGACCATCCAAGTTAATATCCATGTGGATCTACACAAATAAAAATGAGATCATTTAAGGTGATATAAAAATGCATTCATGCAATTTGAAAAGTGTTTCTAATTTTTACCTTCATATGATCAATGGCAGGTTGAAGATCTTTTTCTTCATCAACATCTTTCCACCTTATTGGCACCGGAAGGACATCTCGAATGACTACACCAATTTGACTAGAAAATTTTGAAGACTCGTGTCTCCTTTTAGGTCTTCCTATCGATGGATCCACAGTTATCTTCATTTTTTTACCACTAGCCTGAAATGCCTTCATAATACCTTTGCCCATTGTTTGTCCACGCTTTTTCTTACTGGTGATATTGGAAGCTGCATGTTCACCACTAGGTTATTTTAATTAGTTAAAAGCTTCATACTCATTAGACTGTATTTTATCAAAACACTCTGAAAGGCAAAGGCACATGTATTTTGACTAAAATGAGCAGAGCAGGCATGTGTTTTATATTATACAAGTCACTGGAGTTTCAAACTAGACAAGCTACTCAAAGTTGTACATCAGTTCATGTCCTTTTTTGTTTCAAAATAATTAATTTTATGTTTATATCAGACACTTTGGCTCAAGTTTTCACTAGTTTTCATACAAGCTGAAACTCATATTAAGTCTTGATAGATAGTAAAGAAACAAAAAACATAAATAAGAAGTATAGAAAAAGATTGTTAGTACAAAGCATACTTTAGTGTATAATGGTAAGAATCAATATATTATAACATAATAATATATAAATGGTGTGTTCCTATTGCTTGACTTAACATTATATTCGAATTATACAATCACCNAAAAAAAAAAAAAAAACAACAACAACAACAACAACTGAAATAATGCTGAAAGGTAGCTGACTAGAAAAAATATAGACAATTTTGGATGCGAATAAACTCATTCACTTATCAAATATTCTCTCTATATGCCAACTGTTTCAACAAATGCAATAGAATATAATAAATCCATATTCCAAGCATCCTACCAATCAAATACAATATAGTAAGTAGTAACATGCCCAATTCCCACTATTCAAGCATCATCTATTATACAGTAACTCTCAACTACTTCATAATAAAACCTTAACATATAAGGACTATATCATATATGCAATACATAAATAGATTAGAGACTAAGTGTAGAAGCCCATATCTTCAGTTTGTTAATAACATGTATTGCACAGTATTGCAACAAATTCATATCGATAATTTTCTTTTTTCTTTTTTTTCTTTTCCCTCAAAATATCCGCATTTTTCTAGCTGTAGCATAATAAACCGAAGGAGCCAGCTAAATATCAGATACCCATGAAAAAACAAAAAAAAAAAAAAAAACTTTTGTCCAGTGAAATTGATAGTTTGCATGTTACTCCACAGTACAGTACAGATGAAAGAGCATCTTGTGTATAAATTAGCTACATTATCAAAGTGCAGCCCATTGAAAAATCATGAAAAACAAAAATCAAATTGCATGTTATTAACAAAATTAATGGAAGTAATCCTTAAAACCCCAAGCTTTAACACTACATTTTCAAGTAATCTTTTTTTACATTTTCAACTATTATTACTCTCAAAAATCATGTTGTATTGCACATTATTGAAAATATGAACAATCTATTTTAGGTGAAAATAAGAACAATCTATTTTAGGTGCTTAAAATTCTGGATTTCATCAGATCAAGGAAATTAATCATAATGAAAGGAGTTTATTTATTGCACATGCAGGTTATGAAGAAGGATCTCAAGCCCAAGCCTGAGCAGTCTTGAGAAGTTTATGATTGCATAATGAAGGAAATTATCACCCATGTTCAAAGGCATGTAGGGTTGTTTATATTATTTTGATGATTCGGATAGTCTTAGCAGGTGAGACGAACAGCTAAGCCACTCAAGCAGTCAAGCAAAGCTATTGTTACTGATAGCTCACTTTTTTTTCAGTTTTTTTTGGTACAAAATTGACACCGAACCGAGTTTTCGATAACCGAAAGCTCGGTTACCGACCACAAGTCGGTTTGGTTTCAGTTTCACATTTATTGGTACCGAAATTAGCGGTTTGGTATCGGTAAGAACTGTAACCGAATCGATACCACCGATACCACGCCTAATTAAAACAAACAAAACTAATGAACTCATAAATATAAAGATAAACAAGCATTCAATGGAAGACTTGTTTGCAGAAACCAATTATCCAGCAAATAGCATACTATACTGAGACAAATTTCTAGAGTTGCATTATGATGCACAGTACATGAAAAAACAGTTCATGAAACAACACAACACACAGTTCACGAAACAACAGGACAACACACAGTTAATGAAACAACACAACAACACAATAAAAATTTTAGAGTATTAGCTATGTACCAATGATATCTTCCTGTGATTGAGAATGTTGATTTCCCTGATGTGATGGAGGCTCGGGAGTGCTTTCATTTTGCTGAGTACCTTCAAGAGTCATCTTCTTCTGTTGAGTTTGAGGAGATTGGATACTTGGCATAAAAGTACTCTCCTTTTGCTGAGTTTGAGGAGTCTGAACATTTGGCAGGTTGCCCCCAAACGTGGGATTTGCAGTTTCGGTTCCTATAGACAAACCATCGGTTAATGGCAATCCTTTGTTCACTTTATCTACTCCCATATTAGTCTTCTCGGATTGCCGATTTTTATCCCTTGCTAAACTTCCTGTCTTCGTCATGTGATCTATGAGACTCTGCCGAGAATTCGGTATGAATTTTGTTCTTGAATTCTGAACTAATCCAAGAACCATTTGAAACCTTTTGTATCAGGCAAAAAAAAAAATATCCATCAGAATGAAAAGTAATGCATAACTGATTCATTGATATAAAATAGAAACAAATTGATGCAAGGCATAACATAAAGAACCAAGATACTACGAGAGAGTTTCTTCCAGAACAACCGATTGCTGTATAATAGAAGGCGGGATTGCTGTATTATAGAAGGCGGATTATCTTTGAGACTTTGATAATTGTTAGCCTAAACTTTTACTTATATGAGTGAAAGGGGGGAGAGATTATTGCTGAAGATACGGTCAAAATAATTTCAGTGTTTATCTACCTTAAATATATAAGATTACCAAAATTAAACTAACTAGTGAGCGCCAAAGCAAATTTTTTGTCCGCCAATGTTTTAGTAATCCAAAGTTCACCATAATACCCTTTTCAGATCTTATCTTAACACCTAAAAAACCAACAAACTGTTGGGTTCGATAGTACCGTACGGGCTTTAAGCAGCGGAATTTAAAATTTTTCAAAGTAAGTATTTATCAAATAAATACAACACCCCTACATGCTAATTGCGAATTAACTGATCGTCATCTTTAAAACATGCATCACATACAAATTTTGATTTGTTATAATAAAGTAAATACTAATACGAAATATTTACCGAGTGTCTTGAACTCCTTCAACAAAGATGTGGATTGTGGGAATCGGTTCCCGGTTATAACTTCAACGTCTTGAGGTTACTCGCTTTAGGAATCCAAGTGTCTTCCCTCTAATCGTATCCACCCTATGAAGCCCGGTTCCGACGACCTTTCTTCGCTAGTAGAAATGTCTCGGTTTTCTTGTATAGGAATATATATATAGATATAATTTGGGAATTATCAAGAACACTTTCTTGAAATATATGAAGAACACTTTCTTCTCTCTTTGATTTTCTCACAAAATCACTTCACATCTTTGCAAACATTTTGCATCTATTTATACTAAACATTTTAGCATAAAATAATCAATATTTAGTAATATTTAAATAAAATCAAATTTTATTTAAATAGTATTTACTAACCATTGACTTTGAAAATAATAAGATATGTTAAGTAGTTCAAACAACCATTAACAACCATTTTATTATAATCATATTTCTTATTTTAATCCTTAAATCATATTTAAAGATATAAATAATAATTGGATAATAAATCTTGAGAATCTTTCTCAAGACTTTATTATTATATCATTTTCCCAATCTTATAATAATCATATTATTATTATTTTGGATTTGAAATTTAAAATCCTATTTTAAAATTCAACTTTATTAATTTAGTAATTACTTTAATTACTAAAGTAATATCCAAAATGTAATTAATCAATCTTATTGATTAATATATTCCTTTAATTGACATCTAATCAAATTAGATATTTATCAATTAATTCTAACCATTAGAAATACAATCTTTACCTTTGTTCATAATTAGTGTGACCTTTTAGGTTCACTATTAATACTAGTAGTGGGTTTACAACACTTTGTAATTTGAGTTAAATCTTATTAACTCTTATTCAAGAATTAACCCCTTAATTCATGAACCCACATATCATGGTAACACCTAGCAAGTATCATGAATCTAGTATTAAGTGAATAGCGAGTAAACCTATTCCGATTACAACTCCATACATGTAAAATCCTTTCGACATCTAATTTCCCGATTAAGTCTTGGGTATGATTTTGTCGAAACCCAAATTGACTTAATAACTATGATTCTATTTCATGTTTATTAACCCGGTTATGAATCACTATTCATCTCTGCCTTGGCCAAGGACTTTGGATTAATAACTATGAAACACATAGGAAATTCACTTATCTTCATAAGTGTCGAATCTTTTATGGGCCACTAACAAACTTCCATACATATCAACATAATACCCAACTTATCCCTTTAAACGATAGTGCTAGCTACCAAAAGGATAAATCAAAGTAGAATGTAATATGCACAAAGTTACCATTGTGCCTCAAGTCTTAGGATTAGTCATGTACTATTGTAACATGAAAATTCTTATTCGACTGAATAAATTCTTCATTAAGAATTTTCATACGGTCATGTTCAGTGAACTTGTTCTCTAACAAGCACCCACATAAATGTACTTACGTCTTACGCTAATGTTGATGGAATGCAACATTCTTGTCCAACAAGCATACAAACTATGTGCAAGTCTTTTATGAATTATTCGATATTCCATCTCGAAACATCCATCGACTTGGAACTGTATTTAAGATCACGGCTTTCAAGGTATGTTCCATGATCACCATCTCTATGCGCAACCATACCTTATAACCATAAGTGATCTAGGGATTTTATCTTAAGTGCAATTATAAGATAAATGCTTTCTCTTAAGATAAAGAAATGCCTTATTCATAATATAATTGCAATAGACTGTATTTACAAGTAGAATACGTCCAATTAGATTGGAACGCCGGGTACCCTACTCTAACAATCTCCCACTTGCCCTAGTTCCAATCACTCATGTATCTAAGACCCATCTTCTCAAGATGTCCTTCGAACACTTTATGTGATAAGGGTTTAGTTAAGGGATCTGCTATATTTTCTGCTGAGTCGACTCGCTCCATCACGACATCGCCTCTACCAATGATTTCTCTAATCAAATGGTATCGCCTCATAATGTGTTTAGATTTTTGATGAGATCTTGGCTCCTTTGCTTGCGCAATAGCCCCATTGTTATCACAATAAATCATTATTGGATCAAAAACGGATGGTACTACACCCAACCCTTGGATAAAGTTCCTTATCCAAACAGCTTCTTTTGCAGCATCAGATGCAGCAATATATTCCGCCTCTGTCGTAGAGTCAGCAATTGTTTCTTGTTTGGAACTTTTCCAACTAACTGCTGCTCCATTCAGAGTAAATAAGTATCCAGACATGGATTTATAGTCGTCTTTATCGGACTGAAAACCAGAATCAGTAAAGCCTTCTAGTTTCAGTTCTCCATTGCCGTATACCATAAAGATATCCTTAGTCCTTCGTAAGTACTTAAGAATCATCTTAACGGCTTTCCAGTGTTCTTCACCTGGATTAGACTGATATCTGCTCGTTACACTAAGTGCATGAGCCACATCAGGTCTTGTACATAACATTGCATACATAATGCTACCAATAGCTGATGCATAAGGTATATGACTCATCCGTTCTCTTTCTTCAGGTGTCTTTGGAGACATCGTCTTAGAAAGAGAAATCCCATGACTCATTGGAATATATCCTCGTTTGGATTCTTCCATGCTAAACCGTTGTAGCACCTTATTTATGTACGTCGACTGGGATAGTCCGATCATCCGTTTAAATCTATCCCTATAGATTTTTATCCCTAGGATAAAGGATGCTTCTCCCAAGTCTTTCATGGAAAACTGTTTTGACAACCATGTCCTAGTTGACTGCAACATCCCTACATCATTCCCAATGAGTAGGATGTCATCAACATATAGAACAACAAATGTAACTGCACTCCCACTAACCTTCTTATAAACACATGGTTCATCCGGATTCTTATGAAAATCAAACGTTTTGATCGTTTCATCAAACCGAATATTCCAACTCCTCGAAGCTTGTTTAAGTCCATAAATAGACCTTTGAAGTTTACAAACCATTTGTTCACTCCCATTGGATATGAAACCTTGCGGTTGTTTCATATAAATGTCTTCCTTAATATTTCCATTAAGAAAAGCAGTTTTCACATCCATTTGCCATATCTCGTAGTCATAATACGCAGCTATGGCTAGCAATATCCGAATAGATTTAAGCATTGCTACTGGTGAAAAAGTTTCCTCATAATCAACACCTTGTTTTTGAGTATAACCTTTAGCAACCAGTCTTGCTTTAAAAGTATTTACTTCTCCATCTACACCACGTTTTCGCTTGTAAACCCATTTACAACCTATGGGTACAATACCCTGTGGTGGATCAACCAAAGTCCATACTTTGTTTGAATACATGGAATCTATTTCGGATTGCATAGCTTCTTGCCATTTATCTGAGTCAATGTCCAACATTGCCTCATCATAGCTTATTGGATCATTATCCAAAAGGAGTCCCTCTTCATTGTCTTTTGACAATAGGTATAGCCTTTCAGGCGCCCTAGAAACCCTTTCGGATCTCCGAAGAGGTTGTGTTTCAGATGGTCCAGTCTCTACTGGTATGTTATTTGTGGTACTTTGTGGAATTTCTTGTGGTTCTTCATTAAGTTCTATGACTCCACTATTCTTTGAGAGAAACTCTTCCTCTAAGAATATAGCATTCCTCGAAACAAACACCTTTTGTTCAGAGGGATCATAGAAATAGTATCCAATAGATTCTTTTGGATACCCCACAAATTTACATAAGATGGATCTCATATCCAACTTACCTCCCACTAACTGCTTCACATAAGCAGTACAACCCCATACTTTTAAATATTTGTACGAGGGTGTTTTGCCACACCATATCTCATAAGGTGTGCTGGGTACAGCTTTACTCGGCACTCTATTCAAAATATGTGCAGCTGTTTCTAAGGCATAACCCCAGAATGAAAGAGGTAAACTAGTGGAACTCATCATTGATCGAACCATGTCTAACAGTGTTCGATTTCTCCTTTCTGAAACCCCATTGAGTTGTGGAGTTCCAGGAGGTGTCCACTGTGAGATAATCCCATTATCCCTTAAATAATCAAGAAACTCATTAGTCAAGTATTCACCTCCTCGATCCGATCGAAGGACTTTAATACTACGACCAATTTGTTTCTCCACTTCATTTCTGAATTCTTTGAACTTTTCAAATACTTCAGATTTGTACCTTAATAGGTATACATAACCATACCGTGAATAATCATCAGTAAATGTTATGAAATAGTGATAGTTCCCCATAGCACTAACATTTAGTGGTCCACAAACATCTGTATGGATCAAATCCAACAGACCTTTAGCTCGCTCCACTTGTCCAACAAATGGTGATTTTGTCATTTTACCTTTAAGACATGATTCACATGTAGG